AATAATAATAATAATAATAATAATAATTATTATTATTATTATTATTATTATTATTATTATTATTATTATTATTATTATTATTGAGTTGATACATTGAAAAAAAAATCCACCAAAAAAATTGAATTTTCATCAAAAAATTATATTTTTCCTCTTCAAACCCTCCTTTCGCCCCTGCCTGAAACATAAAACCTGACTCTGCCATTTGGACAATTGTTAAGTATCATGGCGTACATCACTCTAGCTAATTTTTTTGTGTCCCTTTTAGTGGAGCTAAAAATTAGATTTTTAATAGATTTTGATAAAATATAATGTGGGACCTACAAAATAGGTAAATATTTGTTTTAAAAAATAAATTAAATTTTTGAAATTTTTTTAAATACGCTTTTGTATAAATAACGCCATTTTTAAATCTTTCTTATTTATCAATTATTCATGTGTGTGTATTAATGTAATATTCTTCCATAATTAAAATACATTCCAAATTATGTGAGTCCCATTCTTTGAAAAAAAAATTCATTCTTAAACATTATTTTGACATTATTTCAATCACGCATTTTTTAATAAAATAGTACTACACGTAAATTCAAAAAATTTCTTATTTTTTGACGATATATTTTCCATCAATACACTATTTAAAATGCATTCCCCCCCTAAAATGGGGCTCAACCAAGGGCTGCAAGCAGAGCGGACCGGGCCGGGCATATAAGGTCAATTGACCCCCCCAGTTTTTGAATTTTTTTTTTTGAATGTCAATGTTTAAAACTTACACGATAAATATATAATGCAATCGATGGCTCCAAACTCAGTTTTGTGTCTTTGTCCCTCTTCCAATCTATCGAATGCGAACGCCACTGTCATTTACAATTTATCTATCGTTTGAAAGTTTGATTACGATCCTCTAACACAACATGTCTAAGTCCGCCCTTTGTTACAAGAGGATGTGATAGTTATTTTACTATGCCAAGCAATAGAAAGTTTTCCAAGTACTCTTCACAGAATCTTACAACGCAGCACATGATTAGTAGGTTTTTGTTTATATTTTTGCCAACTATCGATGAAATTGTGCCAAGTGTCCAATTCTATGAAATTTGCTCTGTACTACGGCTAATTTGAATAGAATAAAGAGTGTTTGAGCCCTTTAATTTTGAAAAATGTGTTATGAAATAGTGATTGATGTAGAGTGTGTGATTAAAAATAAATAATTTTTTTTATATGCGTGTAATATTATTTAATAAATAATGTGTGATTGAAAATGAGTATTGTAGAAAAAATAATGTAATAGAATGTAAAATAATAGATGAAAATTAGGGCTATTGAGAAATCCACATGGTGATCATCCATAATCAACCGTTTTCGCCACGTGTCGGCCAACAAAAGTTTTCACCACGTGTCAACGCAATGGACTTTCTCTCTCCTTCTCTTGTTTCATTTGTCTATCCGATATCATCTGGACTAATAAACACACAGTCGTAACTTGTAATCAGTGCATTGCTGTGTTGATTTGATTTGTAAATTCATAAACGTTAGGGCTGCAATGGATCCCCTGGTGACGGCGAAAGTGATCGGAGATGTGATTGATAAGTTCGTTCCGGCTGCCGAGTTGACTGTGCAATATGAATCAATGCCTGTGGCTAACGGTTGCGATATCAATCCATCGTCGGCTGCCGGAAAACCTCACGTTCATATCAGTGGTTCTCGTGGCTCTCCTAATTATACTCTTGTAATTCCACAATTGTTACAAACTAAATTAAAAAGTTCATTCTGCGTGTTGATTGAATCTAACCTGACTTGGATCGACTGTTTTTAGGTAATGGTTGATCCCGATGTTCCAAGACCGAGTGAACCAACTTTCAGAGAGTGGCTCCACTGGTAAATATTACTAGTAGCATTGCCTATTAAACCCTTCTATTGAAGTAAAGTAGATCAAATCCCTATAAGTTGGTAAATATTTTTAGCATATAACGATGTGAGATTTAATTGCTTAACGTAGATCAAGTCCTTATAAATTGGTCTATATTTTCATCGGATAACGATGTTAGATTTTATTGTTTAACAAGTCCTGTAAGATGGTGGCTCATTTGAGCAGACCAATCTTGTAAACGTGTGTTTGTTTTTGAGACTTAATTAGATCGGATTGCTCATTAGAGTTTAATGAACTCTAATACCATATTAAAATTTGAGATTTCATCTCAAAAGGTTTTTTTTTGTGCTGGGCAGCGCGCGTTAAGATTCGTCGCGCGATTGTCCAGGTGAGGTAGGAGATCTATACGAACAAAGCATTTCTCTTTTCGGCTGTTTTCATGTATCAAATCCAATATCCTTTTCTTTCTATGAGAAAAAGAAGTGTGGAGGAGAAGCAGCCGAGCTCATTCTCTTCACTTCTTGGGCAAAAGAAAAGAGCAATGCGTAGTCACATCTGTTGGATCAACATTTGACTTGAAAGAATGTTCAGGCAAGGGTTTGTAGAACGAAGGGAGTGTACAATTAGAGCGCAGCCCCAACAATCAACTTCCCACTTTTGATGTCCCACGATTATGCTAGTTTAGAAACTAAGGAGAAGGACAGAGGTCCACCGCTCCGTAGGCATCTAACATTTTTAGTTGGAGTTGTTCAAGTCTTTATTTATCTTTATTCGATGCGGAATTTTATCCTTAACAGTATTTATGGGAAAAAAAGTAGAAATCTTGTGTTTCCTTTGTTTCTTTTGGCGAGCACAAAATGCACTCACACTGTCACACAATGAAAATTTCTGAACCTGTTCAACCATTATTATTGTAAATATTATGGGAAACACTTACCATGCAAGCACAAGAAAAAGGGCTTTCATCACTTGAGCCTTAGGTGTACGCAGGAAACTTGCACTTTGCCTTCTTAAGAAGAGGGGTTTACCTACTAGGCCTGACAACGGATATTTAGAATTCAAATGTCAATATTTACTTTCTCACAATATCCATTTCTGGAGAGTCGTTGAATAATGTTTTGTCTGTTGGGTCATGACTTTAAGAGTATTCAAAAAATTTGTTTTTTTTCCCATTATGCAGAAGGGTAAGGGGGTCGCTTACATATTCGACTCCGATGAACAACCTTTTTGCGTGTTCATGGTGTGAGTCGTGTCTCATGGTTTATCCCTAGGAATTCTTTTCCGTTGCTTTACATGAAGGTGAAGAAAGGAGTGGCCTTACTTTAATTCATGATATTTAGCCCCTGGGGCACTTCTCCCCTGGCAAATGACGGGTTCTCTCAAATGCTGGCAGATCAGAGGTCGTGGGTTCAATTCTTGGGGCTCTTGGAGGCAAGATACATACTAGAAGGCAGGATTTATCCTGGAAGGCAGTAGTGTCTTGGCAGGCAAGGCGCAACATGGGTTGGCTCACTAGGCACTTTGGCAGTCCAGTTGGAAAGGTGCTTGGACCCTGGTTAGTTGGAGGCACATCCTACGGTTTAACTGGCCTGTGTGAAGAGGGGCCGGATCACAGACCCAAGGAATAGTCGCCGAAAGCGAACACCTCAATAAAAAAAAAGAAAAAGGAGTGGCCTACCTATTTGACTCCTATGAACAACTTATGGGTATCTGTGGTGTGCGTCGTGTGATAATGTTTTTCTAGTGGGTCATGGCTTTATGGGTATTAATGAAATCGAGTATTTGTTTCTTTTTATTATTTTATTATTTTTTTGATATCCAGGTATTCCAGCTTACACCAGACTAAATCCTGAACCCCCAAGACCCTTGCCCCTAGAACCTTAGAGGGGGTAAATCGCGGGTTATGCCTCAACTGGATCACAGGTTCCCCTCATTGCCAGTACACTTCTACGCACAAGAGACCCTCCTCCACAGTGATTGCTCCATACCAAATTTTTGGCCGCAGGTTCTCACCAGAAATCGAACTCTCCACCCTTCCGCTGGAAACAAGATAATGTTGATTGATCCACCAGTTGAGCTGTGCCCCGGGGGCGAGTATTTGTTTCTTTAGTATGAAGAAGAGGATGGGAGTCGCTACCTATTTGACTCCATACTTTTAGATATTCATGGCTCAAGTCGTGGAATAATGTTTTAGCCATGGGTCAATTGAGATTGTGATAAATTTTAAAAATCCTTCAAAATTTAGGTGTCCTCAATTGAGATTAGGTGTCCACATGCATATGCTATTTTCAAATAGTTAGATAAAAAATTACAACAAAACACATTTCTTTGTTCGTTTTCATCAAATAAGAGTTAAAAATATTAAATTAAGTATCGAAGTAGGGTCTTCATGGTAACGACAATTCAGACTCAAAAGTCAACTATATAATGTTACGATATCGTACATTTGTGATATAAAAACGCAACAAATTTTTGACGTTGTTGCTGTGGACTATTTACATTTAGTTTTAATTTATTTTAGGGAAAATTGCAGTCGAAGTACCAAACATTTCGTTTATTAGCAGACTTTGTCCAAACCTTTGATTTGTGCCACTGTGAGTACCAAACCTTTAAAAAATATACAGCTCAATTCCAAAATGACAGTTTCCGTCTATTTGACCCCAAAATCCGTCCGTTGACCCTAGAAATTAAAAATTTAATAATTTTACCATATAAGACAAGGCTAAAATGGTCATTTTACCATTTTAATATAAAATAATAAAAAAAGGAAAAAGGAAAATTGGTCATCTCCTTCAACAACCCCAACCCCCATCCCCCAATCCCACCAAAAAACAGCACCACCACCATCACTTGCTACAACCACCAACCATCGCTTGCTACAAACACCCACCATTGTGTGCTACAACCACCCACCACTTAAGGAAATCGTATTTTTCAAACCTCGAGTTTCATCCCTTGAAAGCTTCTGTAATTCATTTCCACCAAATCAAAACTCACAACGAACCCTGGAATTGGAAATCAGAAATTGCTCCTTTTCCAATTTCTAAATTTCCTTATTATTTTCTATTCATGTTTCGTGGGGAAATTGAGATTTGATAATGGGAAGTTTTTACTCCAAATTTTTTATGGGTGGGAGTGGGGGTAGTGATTTAAGAGTATGGCCCGACGGTGGTGGCACTATTGGCGATGGCTGGCATATGGCGAGACTGGTTTTCCCCATTATTGGGTAGGTGGGGGTGAAAAGAAATACATACAGAGGGGTGTGTGTCTAAATAGAGAAAAATAAAAAATCAAGAGCTAGGGTTTGAAATCAAGATTGGAAGCAAAAAAGAGAACTTGGTATGAGATTCATCCTCTTTTATACATCTTAATTCAACATCCAGTGATATACTCAATGCAAATTTTTAGTTTTCTTCCATTATTATGAGTAGCTAAATTTTCTATTAGGACAAACAATATAATTTGTTGAGATCATTTATTTCTTTTATTCAAGATTCAAGTACTTTCATTATTTATGTGTTGATTTTAATTATGTACTTGTGCCCAGTTTGTTAGTGTTTCTAATTTTGAACTCAAACACATTTTATTGGACACACAAATTTTTAATTATATATTTTATCAACTTTTATCAAAATCTATTAAAAATACGATACTCATTATTACGGTCTTAGATGAATCCTTAGAATTAATATTTCTTTTAACTAAACTTAATTTGCACAGAGATATGTGATTGAATTAGTTAAATAGATTCAATGAGAACTCAAGATGTATAAATTGAATATAAAAGAAGAATTCAATTGAATACTACATTAGGTTACGAATCTTGAAATTGTTGTGCCTAATATCTATTTCATATTTGAAAATTAAATAGATCTTTATGTGCATCTACTTATTTTCATGTAGTTAGATTAAAATCACAACAAATCACATCTCTTTGTTTGTTTGCGTCCGATAGTAGTTAGAAATAGTAAATTAAGCATTAAAGTCTAGTTGTTGTGGAAACGATAATCCTGATTCAAAGGTCTACTCTATTACTTGTTACGATATTGTACACATGCTATATAAAAAATGCAATAAATTTTTGACGCCTTTGCCGGGAAATAGTTACATCTAGTCTTAATTTTTTTTTACTGTTATTTGATTAATTTATTTTCTTCTATATACAGAAAAGGTGTTTGTTGTATGTTTTGCATCCAAAGCGACAATCTTGAGCCGTTTGATTCGAAAATAGAATGTGCTTTCGAGACAAAGATTCAAGGAACACAAACAAAAATAGAAACATCAGATGAGTGACAATCAAAATATTTTTATTCCTATATACCCGATTGGACAAGTTGCCGAGAGAGTAGTGGCGTAGCAAAATTAGCAAAATGAGTGAGTAGAGATAAATGAGGAAGATTTGCAGTCATAATGTTCTTAAATCTATAGCAGCACCATCACTTTCTGCATTTTATATCCAAATTTTGGGGTAAATAATTTTCAGATAAGGGCAGATTGGACTCTGCAATTCTATGGGTTACCTCATAAAAATTCGAACACAAGTATATTCAGATTTTTCAAAAATTGTCAAAACTTCCATGTTTCAGGAATAAATGAATATGCTATCAAGCTGTGTTTATTGTTTTACACTTTGAGGGATGCATCTTTGGAGTGGTTAGTTGTTGAATCTCATGGCAGCATTACTACACGGGTAGCAAAAGTAGCAAAAATCCGATTGAAAATTCAAACATTCCAAAAAGAGATGGGGCAAGTTATCATGATGCATGAAACTGATTCAAAGAGCTAATGTAAAAGTGTCCAAATCATGAAATCACCATAAGTAATCAAGTTCAATGTTTCTACATCGAACTTTCACCATTGTCAAAATCTCAAGTGGATTTTCTTTGCATATGAATCAATTATTGAAAAATCGATTCAATAATGCATGGATTTGTTTGAGTAAATTTCCATTATACATTCAATGTTCTCCTTAGGAAGAGTAGTAACACAGAAGGCAGGTGAAATTTATGAATTAGACAGCACAACATCTACCAATACACAAATAGCTGCTTTGACAAAATAGATAAAGTTACTGTTGAAATTACAAACACGTCGAGCACATGCAATGATGGCCAATCCATCATGTAAAAGTTATGGAGCCAATCATCTCATAGAGAATTGCTTATCTATGGGTTTTCTCGAGGAATTAGTGAACTTCGTTCAGAATGGCTCCCGCAATTTTAACCCATATGGACAAAAACATATAATCCTAGATAGAGACAACACACGAACTTTAGATAGTCTGATGATCAGTAAGGGAATAATTCAAATAATGCCCAACACGAGAAAAAATCCAGTTTGGAAGAGATATTCAATTAGTACATGTAAAAGACAGACAAGGTGTTCCAACAAATTGAAACAAACTTTTAGAATTGGCAAGCATCTATCAAAAAGTTGGAAGATGATTCAAATATTCCTCTAATCTTATGAAGACCTTTATTGGCCACTGGAAGAGCGCTGATTGATGAATATGATGGAAAGATGATCCTAAGAGTGGACAATGAACAGATCATATTCAATGTGTTCAAGGCGATAAAATATCCATTGACTTCTAATACTTGCTGCCAAATAGATGTCTTTGATGAGCTTGTAGCTGTACTTTTGATGCAGAATATCCGGCATTCATATATGACGCACAAATTGAACAAATAGAATATGAGATTATAGAAAGAGAAGAATGTGCTATATAGTTGGTAGAACAATCTATGGGAAGAGACATTGACAATGTGAGTCTCTTTGTGCCAATCCATCACTGTCGCTATCCTCAGTGGAGAAGGCCCCAACTCTTGACTTAAAATCTTTGTAATCACATCTATGCTATGCTTATTCGGGAGATTCCATTGCACTTCCAAAAATCATTGCAAATGATATGACAGAAGAAGAGGAGAAAAAAAATATTGGAGGTACTAATGCTGCAATTGGATGGACAATAACTGATATTAGAGGAATTAGTCATACCTTTGCATGCACAAAATCTTAATAGAGGATGAATCAAAGCCATCAGTAGAAGGACATCGCACATTAAATCCAACTTTTAAAGAAGTGGTGAGAAAAGAAGTGCTAAAATTGCTAGATGCAGGGATTATTTACCCCATCTCAGATAGTTCTTAGGTAAGCTTAGTACATGTGGTGCCTAAGAAGATGAGATTGTAGTGGAGACGAATGAAAACAATGAGCTCATTCCAACAAGGGTAGTAACTGAATGGAAAGTATATATTGATTACAGGAAGTTGACTAATGTCATAAGAAAAGATCATTTCCCATTGTCCTTCATTGATCAAATGTTGCAAAAGTTAGCTGGTCACTCACATTATTGCTTTCTGGATGGATATTCAGTGTATAACCAAATAGAAATTGCTCCAAAAGACTAGGAAAAACCAACCTTCATATGCCCATATAGTAGGTTTTCCTTTAGGAGAATGCCTTTTAGTTATGCATCGCACCTGCAACTTTTCAACGCTACATGACACCCATATTATCTGACATGGTGGAAAAATATATCAAGGTATCTATTGATGACTTTTCAGTATTTGGATATTCTTTTGATAATTGCTTCAAACATCTATCTCTAGTGTTATAAAGGTGTAAA